AACCTGACTTTTTATATACATACATATACATATATTTTATAGCAAAGCACATTATTTTGCAACTCCTCAAAAAGCTCACTGTTATAAAAAAAAAGATGTTTACTAAGGACCATAATTCTCCTTTGGGAAGTTAAGTTTCCATTTACAAAAATAAATACATCACTTAAAAGTTAATAATAAATATATGGTGGATCTGTTGGTCATGTATGGTTATTTAACAGCATCAATACTATTGTGTGTAGTAAAACACGCAATAATCGTTGAACAAGCATGGCGTTTACCCAAGGACACCTGCTGAGGCAGGGACGGAGGACAGCAGATAGGACCCAAACCAGTCTCCCTACCTTCAGGGTTTCCACCAAGAGCTGTCCTGCACACGACTGCCAGAATTATCTTCATCGGATCAGATCTGATCAAGCCACTCTGTTGACAAGATTCAGATAGCTGATGCTACGCTTCCCAGTTTGGCTTCAGCTTAACTTTCCAGCCTCAACTACAGGTGACTTCCCCTGGCTTTAGCTACACTGGAATACTCACTGCTCTTAAAACAATAATAGCTAGCAATTATTGAGCACCATCTGTAAGCCAACAGGGTAAACTACTTCATATGACTTATCTCCTCAGTTAATCATCACAACCACCCTATTACAAAGATACTATGATCACTACCCCATAAGCCTCAAGGCCCCATAGTCACACAAACTCCTTTCAAAGTACACAGCCCTATGTTGTATAAAATTCACAAAAATTCATATTTTGCCTTCTTTATCTTACATAGGTCCCACCAAATTGTATAAGCTTCAGGATACACAAAACCTACATCTGCCCTTGATTATTATCATTCCCATTATTCCCATTTTACTGAGGCTCAGCAAGGTTAAATAACTTGCCAAAGTACTCACCATAAGGAAATGGCAGAGAGAAAATTTGAACCCAGGTCTACCTGTCTTCGGAACCTAAGAGCCTAACTATAGTACAAGGCTGCACTTCTGGTCGTGTGGTTCCCATTGCCTGCAATGACCATTTCTCCTCTTCCTATTTTCATGGCTAGATCCCCAGCAGGCTCCTATTCATCCCCCAAAGCCCGACTAAAGTGGTATCCCTTCTTCACATCTTTCCTTGACCTCTCCTGAAAAAATGAGCTATCCTTTAGCTATCCCTGTCTTTTAAAAACACCTACCACAGTATATGTGTGACATAACGTAATCAAAAGAATATGCTTTTTGGAGTCAAACTGATTTAGGTGCAAATTATACCTCTGCTACATATCTGTGGTACAATCTAGGCCTAGGCCAAAATATTTAACCTCTCAAACCCTCAAGTTCTTCATCCTTAAAGTGGAGGCAATAACTCTTAACACATTGACTCATTTAAACACCCAAGCATTCATATATCCATTGAAGAAATACTTAACAAGTGCCTACTGTATGCTAGCCACAGAGCATACAACTGTGGTATAGAAAACAGAGGCACGGTCCCTGACCTCACAGAGCTTACAGTCTAATGGGGGATACAGATAAGTGAACAGAGGGGTAAAATGCAGAGCGAGAAGAGTATTGATTAAGACCAAGGCAGGGTATAGAAGAGCTCATGGGGAAGGCATCACAACCTAACCCAGACTTCAGGGGTCAGGTAAGGACAGCGGAGATGAATAGCAATTCAGTGGCAAGTCTCATTTTAAAAATAAAACAGAGCAAATATTCAAGACAGATACCTCAAGTAATTTCAATTTAATAAAACACTTCCACCCCACCCACACCATAATCACACGTCCCTCATTTCTTAAGCATTTGAAAACTCCTCTGAATGTCAGGGAGGGAAAACTGATTTTTTTTTTTTTAACAATAAGTGGGTTAATAAAAACGAAACCTTGTGCATTGTCCTGGGCAATAGAAACCTTGAGGCTCACAAAAGAGGCCAAATAAATAAAAATAAAATCGGATGGTTTCTCGCCTTTCTGTCACCACCAGAAGAATTCCTTAACATTTGCTCTTGTTTTCTGTGTTAAAGCGTCTAATGACAGAACAAGGAAATCATTTTTACATTTTTCTGGGGGCTGAACTGCTGCATAAAGTGAGAGAGCAATTGCAGCTTTCAAAAGAGATGCTAATTGAGGCTTCTAAAATATTAGACTCCCTCTAAACACACGTCACCCTCATCCCCTAGGAGTTTCTGGGTCTTTCTTAAAGGTGCTGGGAGGATATTGCCGTACAGACTTCATTTCCTACCCAAGGATCTGAAAACATTTCTGTTGAGTGATTTATTCCTCGTTCTTCAGAGACCATATGCCCCAGAGCTTAGGAAGCCCTGCAGGGAAGGACCACCTCCTTTAGACAAGAAATCCACAATTAGAAAAGCAATTGTAGTGGGCCAATAAAGGAGAACAACTCACCACCTCCTGCTTTATTCCACATTAACATGGGAATTTCCATCTGAATTTAGACTTTTTTGGGAGCCTTCCCTCCCACAGAGGTTTTCTAGGCAAAGAGAAGGGAGCGAAAGTCAGCCCTAAGAGACCTGCTATTTTTCTTACTTCCCGGGAGGGTGAGAAGGAGGAAAATGTTGTCATGCTGGCGATTCTATTTCTAAATGCTTCTCTTTACAATAAGATGACAGACTTAAGAGGCAGAAGAGGGAACAGCAGCAGCTGCCCACACAGACTATTACTTTAATTATTGGAAAATCACTCTATTCAGGCCAGGAGAGGGATGAGGGGAAGGAGGCGAGGTGAAGACAAATAACAAAACATGGAATGACACCAAAAACTAAATTATATAAATATGGGGGGGGTCAACCATCACCTAAAGAACACCCCCATACTTCAACTAGCCAAGAGCAAAACTGAGATCCAGAAAAAGTAGAATGCTATTCTTTGTCAGGCTCCTAATGCTTCTGGTATTCAGCTGCAAATGTAGGTTTCACTAACTCTTTCGCCATGAAGCCAGCGAGATATTTATGTAATTATCTATATATCTGTATGTGTAACACTTTTTCCGAAAATGAACAGGTCTGTGCTCTGGTCTAAAAACGAGGCTGACCCACAATCAGTAGATGAAAATACTGACAACTCAACTCCTGCTGGGAAGCACACGACTTGTAAACCTTGTTGTGAAAAGGTAAATACCTATCATTTTCCATCTAACCCCCTAATGACTAAGATTTAAGTTTTATTGATACACCTATATGCATAATATAGTGGGATCGGAGGCAAATTAAGGGGTGGAGTGGGCTGGCAGTTGCTTGGGGCCCTGATCTATACAGGAATCTAAAATAATGTTGAAAAACAGCACGGGGAATAAAATCTTACGGGGAAAATTATACAGTTGACCCTTGAACAATGTGAACAATGCATGGGTTAGGCGTGCCGGCTCCCACGTAGTCAAAAATCTGCTCCCCCAAAACTTAACTACTAATAACCTACTGTTGACCAGAAGCCTGAGCAAGAACATCAACACTCAACTAGTATGTTCTATGTATTATATACTGAGTTCTTACAATAAAGTAAACTAGAGAAAAGGAAATGCTATTTGGAAAATCATAAGAAAGAAAACACACTTACTGTACCGTATTTATTGAAAGAAATCCATGTATAAGTGGACCCTTGCAGTTCAAGCCTGTGTTGCTCCAGGGTCAACTGTATGTGCCAGGAAGGACTGTGTGTGCATAGAAGAGAGAGAGGGGAAAAAAAAAGAAAACAAAACAAAACCTCTGAAAAGAGGTTGAGGTAAGGATGAGAGTGGTAATAAGTCCAACCAACACACATGTGCATGCACACACGTGCACTGCATCCTCGTGTTAGGAAAGGTGGTCCCTAAACTATCATCTAAGGAAAGTGGTCTCGTTAACTATTCCCATGGGGCTATTGTTCCCCAAAAAAGGCACGCTGCCCTCCCCCCGCTCTCCTGCAGAAATCAGCCTCTCCCTGGACAATGGCTGAGAACATGTTTGAAGAATATCAGGCATGAAGGAATCCCAGGTCTTAGCCCTCCCAGGATACTGGAGCTGGCTTGTGCCCTGACTAGAATCACTCCAATTCACATTTCTTTGATCTGTGAGATCGATTTCTCCTTCCCATTTTGTTCTTGTTCTCTCAAATCAAAACTCACATTCCCATAGATCTCGATTCCCTTCGAGGCAATCAAAATATGTGATTAAAGTGATTCATAGCAGGGGGTGAACCAACAGATTTGACCTAACAGGGATTTCTGATTAAAAGCTTGGGTTGTGGGGAGCTTGGCAACCTAAGTACTGAGTTCACGGGGAGAATGTGTTTGGCAAACTTTAGTCCTGTCTCCGGAAGAGTGATGGCTAATTCTAAACATCTTCCTGATACTCTGCCTTCCCCTCCCCGACATCCCAGATACCGACCTATAAGTCTTCCTTATCAACACCTTCCGTTTGCCATGTTAATTCTGTAGGGTCAGTGCCCTGCAGGAGGTGACTTATTCAGGGGCCTAATGGTTAGTTCTGAGAAGATCCTGTTCATTCAGCACCTTCCACATTTAAATACTCTGAGAAGGCGCCTGGGTGGCTCAGTCGTTAAGCGTCTGCCTTCGGCTCAGGTCATGGTCCCAGGGTCCTGGGATCGAGCCCCACATCGGGCTCCCTGCTCCGCGGGAAGCCTGCTTCTCCCTCTCCCACTCCCCCTGCTTGTGTTCCCTCTCTCGCTGTGTCTCTCGCTGCCAAATAAATAAATAAAATCTTAAAAATAAATAGTCTGAAATTCATTCATTAGCATGTGATGTGGAAAAGCGACGATTCCTAAAACCACCACAACCAAAGCCAATACTGTCTACCGTATGAATCAGCTCCTGGCTTGGCACCAGATATTCAGAGTGACTTGCAAACTTAACTGAAAAGTGACTGAAAAGTAACTTGAGTCAACAGTGTCCATGATGAAGGGAATGAAAGCTGTTTCCCTTCGAAATCACCTAAAAAGGAGTGGGAGGAGGAGACAAAAAGAAGGAAGGAAGAAACCCCAGTTGAAACTTGGCATTTACTTGAAGAGGAGCCAGCAGAATGGACGTGCATGGACAGTTCCACAGCACAGAGGGAAGGCATCGCTCAGAAGGCTTCCTTGGCGCTATTAAATTTCTTGGGTGGCAGCCTTGGCTGGGAAGGCAAGGCACAAAAGTTGCGTTCAGGGTTCTGAGGACCAAGCGGTGGTGTCTGCGAACTTACGGGGATTGAACGGCTCAGGAATCTCGCTGAGGAAGAAGAGAGGCCGGTGTAGGAGGGCCGGAGGAGGGTGGGGTGCTCCTCGGTCTTGACGCCGTGCGGGCTCGGCTGGCTGCTCAGGGTGCCCCCACCGCTGCTGTTGCTCCGGCTGTACCGGTTGTTGTTGAGCTCAGGGTAGTTTCTGGCAGGCGGCTGGGAGCTGCCGTTCAAGAGGCTGGTGAGCGGGCTGGTTATGAAACCCGCCTTAGAGGACGAGGAGGGCTTTTTGTTCTCTGGCTCCTGTGTCGCAGCATTCAAGTTGCCTAGAGAACTGGCTAGCCGGGAGTTTATGGAAAAGCTGAATGGAAAACACAGGTTGTGGGGGCGGGGGGGACATAGACAACGATGTATACTCGTGCAGAGTTCATGTTTCTACGACACATCATTAGGACATGAGGGGAATGGGATGCAGGCAGTTCCGATCAATGTAAATGGCGACAGAATGGCTTCTTTATCGCTCTTGGTGATAGTATGATATGGGGCCTTGAGTTATACACATTAACTTCCTATCTAAGCAGTTAATTCAGACCCAAGAAGCTGGCTTAACTACTCTGACAGGAGATGTTGAGACAGTACATCTGGGGGCTCTATGTGTCCTGACGTGGAGAGTACAGGAAAAGGGCTATATGACGGGAGAGTAAAAAGTAGACTTAAGTGTAAGATTTAGCTTACACGTATTCATTCTAACGTCCCCACCCATCGCAGGAGAAATGACCATACCACATAGCATTCGTATGTGCCACGGAACTCCGATTTCCTGATCACGTTAGGCAAGCCGGAGCTTCACTGTAGAAAGGGATGCCATACGGCACTCCCTCCACAGCCTTGTCCCCCACCCCGTGAGACAGGAACAGAAGCCCCCGAGGGTCACGGGGCCTTCTGCGATTTCTCCCCTTCTCCCCAGTCCCCGCCTCTGACAAACTTCAGCCAAACTCCTTGTCTGCTACAGACTCCCTTTCCCTCCCACCGGTATCTGAGAAGTAGAGAAAAATCACCTTCGTACACTGGCGCCTGAGGACAAAGAACCCCTGTTTATCCTCTTGGCCGTCGCTGAAGGGGACAAAGCCACTTTCGAGGTCTTCAAAGTAGTTGCAGATCCTTGTGGGGACGAAGTCAATCTTTGTGGAGACAAAGGGGCAAAATGTCACACAAGAGCTGTGTCATGCTAACACCCAGCAACCAACTAAGACACGGTAAACTAGTAACATTAAAGAGATCACAGCAGGTCACGACAACAGTGACAGTAGCAGCAGTCAAAGCCAACAGAGCCCTCGCTCTGTGCCAGACTCTCTTCTGAGAGCCTTAGAGATGGTAATTCAGCTCGTCCTCACAACAACCCTATGAGGTAGCTAAGATTGCAATCCCCCTTTGCAAGTGAGGAAATGGGGCCATAGAGGAAAAGCTCCTCATCCAAAGTCACTCAGCGAGCAAGGGACAGAGCTGGGATTCAAATCCAGACTCCATAGTCCTGTCCTTAACCATGATCTTGCCACGCTTGGTCACTTCCCTTCTTTGATGGCAGCATTCTTTCTTCACATGTCCTTAGTTCTACTTCTTTATGTTTTAAACCTGTCCTTCCGCTCTGCAACTGCCCTGGCTGAGGCCATCACTACTCCCTCCTCTTGACTACTAGCAACCTCTTTTAATCTTATTCCTAAAAATTCAAATTCTGAATAGTCTCCGGTGGAATCTAAAATATTTAATTACGTCACCCCACTGTTTAAACCATTTAATCTTTCCTCAGTGCCCAGGAAGCCGGAGCTCCTTGGCTGTACTTATGAAACCCTCCAAACTCTGGCACCAGCCTTTGTGAGCAGGTCCTTTCTACCCACACTTTCCCATTAGGCACCTCTACTCCAGCGACACGAACTGTTCTGAGTTCCCTGAATGAACTGCATTCACACCTGTGTCCAGTTTGCATATGCTGTTTTTCCTGCCAGAGCATCTTCTCTCCTTACCTCCAACTGCCTCATTCCCACTGCTTATCCTTTGCTTGTCCAATCAGCTAGTTCCCTATACAGCAAGCCTGCACTGAATTCCCAGGCAGGGTAAGCATACTGTTTCGTCATATATTCTCATAGTAAATCATAGCCCTTATGCCATACTTCATTGTCTGGTATTTGTCTATTTCCCTTGATATAAGCTCTACTGAGGGCAAAGGACTATCTCTCATTTCTATTCCCAGTGGCTAGTCCAATGCCAGACTCAGAGAGGATGTTCATTAATGTTTGAGGGAAAACAGACTCAAACCTGAACAGCCAGGGCACAGTCATGGTTTTAATACCAAACCTGTTTTAACCCGAACAAACCATTTAATGCACCTGGACCTTGTTTTCCTATCTGCTCTAGAAAGCTTACTTACTTGTAGACTCTTTCCTTCATCATCCTCCCCACAAACAACATTTCAAGTACATGGTTTGCCTCTAAAACACGAATGGGAAAAGTGGTACAAAAAAGCAGCTCAGGTTTCTGGAGAAGTCTGAGCCCTCTTCGAACTGCCCGCATGAAACAACCCTAAAACCTCGGGCTGAATAAGAACCAGAGGTGAGGGGTGAATCAGCTTTCTACCCCTATCCCATCAACAGTCTTGGCAAACATGTCCACGGCCCTCACCAAGCCCTGCACTACACTCTGGTACCACTGGTATCTTGAAACCACCCCGGCACTGTTTGGGGGACATTTTTCCAGAGAGAAACACTAATGTTTCCTCTTCAGATGGAGGACGGGGAAGGAAATAAAACTAGAAAATAAAGAACATATGTAAAACTAGGGGGGGGAAAGGACTAACAGAAATGTTAAAAGCTCGAGGCAAAATCGGTCACTGGATTGAAAGGCATGTTGCTGAGCAAGCGTGGTTTCTTGGAGACCCCAGAACGTGCTGGAAGCACAGACTACACTGATGTCCCTACCACAGCCACACCTGCGGGCACCTCAGGAAAACCAAAATCCCCTTCATGGTGAGCATTAAAAATAAGGCACAGCGTAACAATCTGGAATAGAAAGGAAGGGACTTAAAAAGTGAAAAGCTGTGTGCAGTTTTTCACCAGTTTTGGGGTTGGGAAATGTATCTAAAGGGGAGCATTTATTTACAAGCTACTAGAAATTCACCTCAGTAACAGTACCTGAAAGGCTGGGATACTGCTCTTGGGTGCCCTTTCATATCATCCAACCTACGGAAATCAAAGACAAATGCTCACGCATCACTGGGTTCATACATTTAAGCAAAGACCAAAAGGCAGAGTATATGGAGTCAGACCAGTAAAAATACTAAATTGGCAAAAGGGAGAAACCTCCCAAATGGATATTAGTACTCATTCCGTTTCTAAAATAAATCCTAGAACCAGCAGGAAACCATTTTAGTCATTTTGTTTCATCTTTAATTTACAGCAAATTTCTTTAAATCAGAAGGTGGTGTTGCAGCCACTCAGGGTAAAAAAATGTTCAATGATGATACCATGCTGCTGTTAGGAAAATTGAATTCTAAAAAAATGAGAAAATTTCTGAGGAAAATTGAATTCTAAAAAATGAGAAAGTTTCTGAGAATTAAAAAAAAATAGAAAAATCATATTGGAATAGCCTTCTAAAATTTGTGTCATGGAGGTTCTCTCACTTCCTTTGCCTACTTATGTGCCAAGCTATATGCCAATTTATCCCTCCCTCCCCCTGATGATTTCTTCAAAATCAAATCTAAATCTGTTGGAAATTAATTTTAAGCAATATAAAGCCTTTCTTAAGAGTTTCAAGGGGAAAAATGGCGAATAAAGAGATTAGTAATCTTGAAGAACCTTCCACTGACTTAGATGATATCCATAGTGGGCAGAGCACAGATTGAACAGTAGTTGGGTGTGAATATCAGCTCTATTCCAACTCCATCCCACTAGGGAGGGATTTAACCTCCCTAACCTCAAGCAACCAACCCAAATGTGGGTAATGATGCATACCTTTTGTGTTAATTCAGTTAATCCTCATAACCAAACTAAACACCTAACATAGCTCCTGACCATAGTAGCTGCTCAGTGAATGATACGTCTCTTCAATTTTCTAGTGGTAGTTGGCAGTTACTACTAAGCACCAGGCTTGCTATCCCATCTTCTCACGTTACTATGGAAAACGAACACCTTGAATTTGAGCCACATAAACCTTCATTCCCCAGGTCAAGGAACTAGTACTCAAAGCATAGGTAACAATGTGTTCAGACTTAATGTGACTTGTGTTATAATCCTCCCAGATAACACATGAATATTAAACTCTCTGTGAGGCTGTTTGACATGTATCATGCTGGCAAAACACCCCTCTTGCTGTGCATGTCTCTCACTTAAAAGGCAAAGAAAAGTAGCCATTTCCTATTATAATCATTTGTGAACTTGTCACCAGCCCATACATTACAGTAAAGAATCTGGAAGATATTCACAGATTTTTGTACCTACATTGATCCTAAAGACTTTCTTTTTTAACTAATCTGAACCATTAGCAGCTTTTAAATGTTATGATCACAAGTCAGGTTCCATCAATTGATTCTGATTAGTAATTCTAGACTTCAAACTCAGGATGGCTATAACTTTACAGACACAGGTTAAGAATTGTTTATTCAATTCTCAAATATAGAACATAAAACTAAGGAGTTAGGATATACCAAAGCTTGGCATTCAATACTTTTCTACACGCTCTAGATTCAAAACAAAAGCCTCAGCACACCTGTGAGGATTTGCCACAAGATAGGACATCCACTCATGGGGGAAGAGTAGAACTCCAAATGGAATTTTGAACACAGTCCCAGAGACACCTAATGGCATAGCAGTTTAAGGTGGGATTTCCAGAGACTGAGATTGCAGGAGCTGCTTTCTGTAAGCTTCTAAAACTTAGCTGTTCTCTATAGTGACAAAATAATAAACAACACAAAATAGAAATAAACCAAAAAAACAAGAGGTAAACACGGCACTTGTAGAATGATATTCAAAAGAGAAGATTAAATGTTCTATCCACAAATCGAGGCAAAATATAAATTTAGAAGTTCAAAATGGATCTACCTAAATGCACAGGATGGTGAGGAGCGTGGCTGTCTCTGACTTTTTAAGGCACGTAGTTTGTCTCCCTGGGTTATACTATTTTTCATTTCCACATCTTCATCCTCTTCTAAATTATTCTGGGAAAAAAAATGCATGTTTCATAGAAAGGTTATTATGAATAATTTTGCTTTATATAGCTTTCTTAAGAGACCATAAACTATTTCATATAGATTGTCTTAATATAGATTACCTTAAACAGCTTTAATGCACTATGAATTCGGCATTGTCTATACATATACTAGAGAATGTTCAACTATTCATCAATTAAATATACTGGTCAAATCAAATCTAAATCAAAGCATGGATATGGATGTGGCAGAATTTAAAAAGAGCTCTTTATTACAAGGGACCACAACCAAAGAGACTCTCATGCAGACAAAATCATGCTTTGGAATATAGCTCAGATACAGGCTGGCTCAAAAGATACATTACAAATATGTTTCCAGAAACTACTAGGATCAATCACTATAAATTTTATAACTCATTTACAGAAATGAAAGACAAAACAATTTAGGATATCTAGACCATAACTTACTAGGATCAACTAACACTAGTAAAAGCACTCAAGACCTTTCCAGAAGGAGTTAAAGTTTACTAGATTGGGAAAGTGTTTCCTGCTGACGTAAGTCTTATAGATTAAAAAACAGAAGTACCACACAAAATCTTTTCACATGCTAGTTCACATTTAATTCTTACAACTCAGGGCGGGAAGGACACTGTTGCCCATAAAGATGAAAAAAAAGGAGGTGCTCACAGAAGTTAAGAATATTACCCAAGCTCCTCTTGGTACCCAAGAAGCTCTTCATGACAGCTATAATTTTAAAATCAGATTTCTTGACCCCAGATATAATGGTACACTAACACTGCACCAGTAAAGATTTTATTTTGCCCATTTCCTCCCCTCAATAATTCATATGCTCTGAATTTGCTAAGATTCCTTGCAGCCATAAAAGTCCCCTCCACTCTTTAAATCTAGAACTCTTATTTGATGAAGGATATACAAAAACATACTTCCCTCAGTCACATTCTAGTCATTTCTGAGGAATGGCTCAAAACACTTCTTTGCTCCCTGCCACCTAGGTTGGGTTGCATGGATACATCTGGGGTCAGTAGACATGTCCTGGGTAAAAAAGACCACACCTTACTACTATAACTCTGAGTTTAAAAAAGAAAAATAGACACACAAAGCACATAGCTGGTAGGAAAGAAGAAGAAATGAAGATGAAAGCTTCCTAGAGGAGGAAACCCCTTAACTGAGTCTTAAAGAATGAGTGTGGAGAGAAGCAGGCCAAGATCACAGGAAGGGTCATCCTGGCAAAGAATACCAGTTCGACAGTCACAGGTTCATGGAACCTTACAGTCAGAGGATTCTCTTAAAGTCATAAGTTGCCCATCTATAAAGTCTCCAGGAATTGGTTAATCATTCATCTCTGTCCATGCAACCCCAGTGGGAATGAATCCATTATCACCCAAAGAAGCCTGCAAGAACAGAAATAAGGCAGGCCTGCAGGTTAGGCTTGCTAGCAGGATGGTACACCTAAGGAGGTGGGCTTAGCTTCACCCAGCAATCAACATGGGTGTTGTTACCAGTTACTTGTACCTGATGGAAGGACCAGCACACAGCCAGAGTCTCTAGAATATGGGATTGGCTTCTTGAAGGACCTGACAGGATCCTCACCCTTATCGGTCAGGTTCATTGTCTAATGGGCACCTTTGTGGGAAAGCCAGGAAAGCTTGTTTGTCCTTCTAACCAGGAGGATCTTTATGTTTCCAGCTCTGAAACACCTTCAAAATTCTAAGGAAAAGTGAGCCTCAACCTGGAATTCCAAAATTCAACCCAACAGTCAAACGTAAAGGTAAAACAAAGATAAAAAAATTCACCTCCCACACAATCTCTCTGAGAAAACTATTACAGGATGTACGTCAGGGAAAAGTTAAGAAGACTAGAGGAAATCCAGGAAAATTAGGACTCCAACTGAAGAGGGTGAAAAGAAGGCCTTGGGTCAGAACTATACAGTAAGGCTAGAGAACAACCAGTCCACGGTGGAAAGGAGACGACTCTTTGGGAAAAGAATGAACTTGGTAAAATTTTTTTGCTGTGTTAAGATTTTGAAAAAATTTTAAATTGCTTGGCATAATTGCGGGGAGGAGGGAGTAGCCTTATTTTTTCCCAAGTACACAGAAAACTATGCAAATAAAAAGGCAATAAACTCACACCTGAACTCATATAACATTGTGTCAACTGTACTTCAATAAAAAAAATAAAGAAAGAAATATAAAACACCAGAAAAATAGGTAATTAACTCTGGGAAAAACAAAGAGAGATTCAACAAAGGAAACAGAGTAGACTACCATGCTCAAGAGTGAACAGTCCTTACATCATAATTTTTGGGTTTAACGAAAAATTATGATGTAGCCATATGGGGAAGCATGGGGGAGTAGGAGTAACATCTGGGGGGGGCGGCTGGAGAGCTAAAATCCTATCTACCACAACCAGGAGGCAATCAAAAAATGTCCAAAATCAATAAACTGTTTTAAATAGCATTATAAGCAAAACACTGATGTGTAGAAATATGGTAGTGAAAATGCTGATATAATTTGCTTAGAGGTTCCCCTCTTTGGGAGTTGGTCTTGGAGTACAGAAAGGTGGGATAGGGGACTGATATTTTTTATCAGAATTCAGTACTTTCTGACATTTCTAAAAGTGTGGTCATATATTACTTGAAAAACTAAATACTAATCTAACAAGATACACAATTAAAAAAAATTGCTAATGTTTTACATTATAGTTATGTCACAAGTATTTTCTCTCCCACTTTATTATGTATCTTAAAAGTGAAATCTTTTAAATGTAATGCATTTCAAATGTAGAAAACAACAAAAACACTGTAACAGAGAGCCATGCACCTAACTACCAGATTCAATATATTTTCTACTTAAGCTCCTTCTCTTAAGGAATTTACTTAAATACCCTAGCTCTCAAAGAAAAAGAAAACATTACTTATTAAGTCTCAGCTCTCAACCTCTGCAGAAGGAAGCCATGTCTTTTCTAAAGAAAAAAAACATATCTATAAATAGATATATTTTATATACATATTATATATAAATATATATTTATATGTTATAAATATATATAAAATATATTATATATAATAAATGCATTTATTATATATAATATACATAAGTATATATAAAATATATAATATATAAAAACATATTATTTATTTATTTTATATATATATATTTTTCCCCATGATACTTGTTTGTATGTAATGACAAAATACAGATAAGAGTGAAAAAAATATTAAAACCACCTACATATTTACCATCAAAAGCAAAACCCATTAGCACTGGCATATAGTCTTCCAGATTTTTCCCTGTGCTATACATACCATCCCCCAACATACTTCTTCCTGACAAAAAGAGGTTGAGGTACATATATGCTGCTCTGTAACTTACTTTTTCACCTGAAAAATATATTGTTGGAAGTATTTCAGGATAAATTTAAAAAATCAAAACCCCCAAAACCTCTACATTATTATTCTTTGTGGTTCCATAAAATTCCATTGTCTAAATATACCAAATTTTATTTATTGTCCCCTGGTTCAGGCTGTTTTCTGTATTTCATCACTATAAACAGCTCCAACAAACATCCTCCTCTATACATACGGCTTTTAAACACCGTCCTATTATTGTCTTAAGACAGATTCATAGAAGTGGAATCTCTAAACGCATTGTAAAGTCTTCCGCCAGGCATTATCAAATTGCCCTCCATTTTAAACTCCAACTGGCAATCTTTAGGAGTTTTTATTCCCCAAATCCTTGCTAATACTGCGTACATTCTTTAATCTCACACAACTTGAGAGGCAGAAATAGCATCTTCTCATTTAAATTTGTGTTTCTTTCATTTCTAGGGAAGTAGAATGTTTTTTATGTTTACCAGCCATGAGGATTCCCGTTTTGTTTTATTTGTGCATGCAGCATTTTCACATTGATTTTTAAGCGTTCTTTACAATTAAAAAAAAAACCCTAATTTGAATATGTTGCAAACATTTCCTCCTACATGATGACTGTGGGGAGAATGAACAGGAGAAGGTGAAGTCTGTGGGGCAGGGAGGAGGGGGACACAGTTTAGTGGCTCCTGCAGTGGTCTGGTGACAGGTGACAGACTGGATTAGGGTATGAAAGAACACTTAAGTTAGGACCTGGGGAGGGAAGTGGATGGGGAAAAGATTCAGACATGCAATACAGGCCCAAAGAAATCTGCTAAAATATAAATCACGTTATTTTTTATCTCGATGTATCAACCCTTAATTTATTTCTGTGGCTTTTGTATGAAGCTTCAGACATTTTTAGGACTAAGAGGCACAGAACATATAAGCCATAAAATTCTCAGTAAGGGATTAATAGCCTTCAAAATCTTGACAAAAAGTCATGCAATGTTATTCAAAATACATTTAAACTAAATTACAGAGTTAAGAAACTAGAAAGCTGTTAAGAAAGAGGACTCTGGCCTTTTGGAATCCTGAGTATGACACACAGACATGAATAGAACTAAGCTCTGTATTTATCAGGGCACCTAGAACACAAACACCTGTGAGGGAAAAACACATTAGAAAACACAGTTCCTTTTATTATGAGGGTATGAATCAATCCCAAGAATTGGTGGACCTTGGGCAGTTTGAAGACTTTTCTCAACAGGGGCTCATTCTTTCTACCAAATTAACTCCTTATAAGAACTAATGGATAGTCACAACTGATGAATGCAGGGAACCTAGCCTAGGCCTCCCTTGTGCCTTGGCCTCCGGCCCCTCTCCCCACAGAAGTCCCAGTGCAGACCCTCTCTGGCCCTGAGCTGCTTAGATCCCCTAGAATCTGCTGAAAAGAAATAAAGTCACATGGTTGCTGGTGAAACAAAGTGAGAAAGGCTAGTCCACGGAATACCCTCATATTTTTGCCCCCCAAAGAGAAGGGTCTGTTGTCAGACTCCCCATTGCTCTATTGCTCTCTGGAGGGTCTGAGCACCAGATATTTCTTTTGGATACCAGCCTGCCCTACATAAAGGCAGGAAAATGAG